TTATCTATGAGTTGTAAGTTTGTACCCTCATTCGACATCCCCAGTTCCTCAACCCCCACTCAGCCCCTGGTAACTACCATTTTATTTTCTGTTTCTTTGAGATAATTTCCCTAGGTACTCTATATTTTCAGATAAGAAAAAATGAAAGAAGAATTGGGGGAGGAAAGGAAAGTTGGAATGCATCCTCCAGGCAACTCAGACTTTCAGCTTTGGAAGAATGATAGGTAAGAAGTAGAAGAGCACAAGGAAAAAAATCAATCACTCAGGGCTTTAAGCTATAAAAAGACTTGAGAGAGGGAATGGAGAGCACAGTTCTTTTCTTCCCACACAAGTATGTCTGACATTCAATCGCAGAATGTCTGGGGTGGTGGCATTGGTGAGATACAAGAAACTTCTTAGAGGAAACCTCTACCTTCGTAGACTCTAGGGTAGCTCATTCGCAGCCAAAAGCAAGGAAATGCAAGGATGAGATGAAAGATCGAAGAGCTCTCCTTGGCTACCAAAAAAAGCTGGAAGCAGAGATATAAAGTTGGCTGAGGTCTCCAAATATTTAAAAAATCAGATAGCTCATTTCCAAAACAGACACATTTTCAAAACCATCCTAGTACTAACATGCCATGTCTTCTCAAATAGCAAATTTTCAAACACAGCTCAAGAAACTGCAATGAACTGAATAATGATAATACTGTAACAAAAGACAGACTGAGATAACTGCACAGCATAGAATGAAAGACTATAAAACTCCCAAAAGATAACATAGGAGAAAAGCTAAATGACCTCGGGTATGGTGATACTTTTTTATGTAAAACACCTAAGACATGATCTGTGAAAGAAATAATTGATAAGCTGGATATCATTAACATTAAAAACTTGAGCCCCACCAAGGACGTCAAGAGAATGTGAAGACCAAGGACAATGTCAATGTCAAGAAAATGTGAAGACAAGCCAGGGACAAGGGAAAAATATTTGCACAAGACACATCTGATAAAAGACTGTTATCCAAAATATACAAAATATTCTTAAAACACAATAATTTTAAAACCCCATACTTTAAAAATGAGCCAAAGACCTTGATAGATACCTCAACAAAGAAGATATACAGATGGCAAATAAAATATGAAAAGATACCCCACATCATAAGTCATCAAAGAAATGCAAATTAAAACAGTGAGATGCCAGTATATGCCTATTAGAATGACCAAAATAAAAAATAATAATAAAAATACAAAGAATGACCAAAACCTGAAACACTGACATCATGTGCTGACAAGGCCATGGCGCAACAGAAAGCCTCACATTGCTGCTGGGAATTATGGTGAAGCCACTTTGGAACACAGTTTGGCACTTTCTTATGAAGCTAAATATATTCTTACCATACAGTCCAGCAACCACACTCCATGGTATTTACCCAAAGGAGCTGAAAACTTATGTCTATACAAGAGTCTATACACATATGTGTAGAGCAGCTTTATTCAGAATTGCCAAGCAGTTGGCACCAAGCAGTTGGAACCGACCAGCCATCCTTTACTATGTAGATGGATAAATGGACTTTGGTACCTACAGAAAATGGGGTATTATTCAATGCTAAAAGGAAATAACTATTAAGCCATGAAAAGACATGGAGGAACATATATTAAGGCATATTTTTAAGTGAAAGAAGTCAACCAGAAAGAGCTCCATTCTATATGATTCCAACTATATGATATTCAAGAAAAGGCAGAATTAGGGAGACAGTAAAAAGAAAAAAAAAAAGTTAGTGTTTGTCAGGGATGAACCAGGAGGAAATGAACAGGCAGAGTGCAGAGGACTTTTAGGACAGTGAAAGTAATCTGTATATACTGCAGTGGTGGATATTTGCTATTGTACATTTGTCCAGATCCATAGAATGTACAAAACCAGGAGTGTACCCTGATGTAAACTTCAAACTTTGGGTGATTATTATGTGTCAAAGTAGATGCACCGATTGCAGCAAATATCCCACTCTGTCTGGAATGGTGATAACGGAGAAGCCTGTTGTGGGAGCAGTTGGTATATAGGAAATCTCTGTACTTCCCTTTCATTTTTGTTGTAAACCTAAAACTAAACTAAGAAATAAAGCATTAGGGGTGCCTGGGTGGCTCAGCTTAGGTCATGATCCCAGGGTCCTGGGATCGAGTCCTGCATTAGGCTCCCTGTTTAGCAGGGAGCCTGCTTCCCCCTCTCTCTCTCTGCCTGCCTCTCTGCCTACTTGTGATCTCTGTCTCTCTCTCTGTGTCAAATAAATAAATAAAATCTTTTAAAAATAAACGAAAGAAAGAAAGCATTAAAAAGAAATTTGTTAAGGGGAACCTGGGTGGCTCAGGTTCTGCCTTTGACTGCCTTTGACTCAGGTCATGATCTCAGGGTCCTGGGCTATGTTGGGCTCCCTGCTCCACAGGAAGTCTGCTTTTCCCTCTCCTTCTGTCCCCCCCCCCCCCCCAAACCTGCTCCTGTACATTCACTCTCTGGCTCCCTATCACTCTCTTTCAAATAAATAAATTTAAGATCTTAAAAAAAAAAGAAGTTTGTTAAATTTTTTAAAGTTAGGCTGCTTTCACCCTAACCCAGTTTATGACAGATAGGTCCTCTTATTTATTTTTCTCTTGGGTGGGAAGGCAGGGGACATCGATGGAACTCTTCATTCCATCAGAGACTTATTATTTTCTGGAATATCGTTACTGTAAATTTATACCCTCAGCATTTTGATTTTTTTTTTTTAATTGATGTCCAGCTTATCCAGCTTACTTGATTGCTAGGGTACAAATAATGTGGGGTTGGTTTTTATTTGTTTGTTTGTTTTGTAACTTTTAATATCCATACCACAAGTACTATTTATAAACAGATTAAACACAGCAAAATTTTTTATATCTACCCACAGATGTATCATTTCTGTAAAGATTCAAGATTCCATCTGGTACAATTTTCCATCAACCTGAATAGAATATTCTTTATATTTTCTTATAGTGCAGTTTTTATGGTAATAAAACTTTTCAGTTTGTCTGTCTCAAAATGTTTTTATTTTACCTTCTTTTTTTATGAATATATAAGTCCCCATCCAGGTTGACAGACTTTGTTTTCTTGAAATTCTTGACGTACATTTTTCATTGTCTTCCATTTTGCTTTATTTCCAACGTGAAATCAGTGAGGAGTCAGCCATTATTTTTTGTTTTGCTCACTTTATCTTCTTGTAATGTGTCTTATTTCTGCACTCCTTTTAAGATTATTATTTTTTCCTTTGGTTATCTGTAATTTGATTATGATGTGTCTTGGTATAGTTTTCCTTGTTTTGAGCTTGGATTTATAGGTTGCTTTTTATTACAAATGTGAAAAGTGTCTGCTTTTATGTCTACTTTATAGCCTTCTTCTGATATCCCAATTATCTGCTTTGTACTATTTTTGACTACTTAATATTTTTCCACAGGTCATTGAGTTTTTGTTTACTTTCTCCTCCTTCTTCCCCTCTCTCCACAGTGTTTCGGTATGGTTAGTATCTATTGCCCTGTTTCTACCTGTAGGACTACTGAAGTTCTTTCTTTGGCTAACTCTCTTCTTTCTGGTATTCTTCCTCATAAATTCAAGCCACTGGAGACTCTCTGCAATCCACTCTATCCTCTTCAACTGTTCATGTGTCACCTTGTTTTCCCTCCTTGTGCTATGCTTTGAAAATGTCTCCAGGAGCAATGATAGGATTCATTCTTTTTTTTTTTTTTTTTTCACTTTTCTCAAGGATCACAATTCTGTGCTTCTTTCTTTTCCAATGTGTGAAAACTATAGTTATATACATATTTTTTACTTTTTGTTGCTGCTTATTGTAGAAAGGCTAGTTTAGTACCAGTTATTCCATCATAAATAGGAGAGTAAGACTATTTCATTTGTTGAGCATGACAGTTCTTATTCATTACAACCACATTGAATATGATATAAAATAGGCATAAAATAAATCAAAACTATAAGAATATGTTTTATTTAGAAAACTAGGTACTTTATTTCTAGAATAATTCCATATTTTATATTTTCGTTTTTTAAAAAATTATTTTCTCTAGCTATTTTTCTTGGCATTTAAAACCATGTGTAATTTATGAGAACTTTTGATTGCATATGTATTAGTATTTTAATTTTTGATGATTAATTTCAAGAACAAATACTTCAGATCAAACTGGAAAATGAAACTATCAAGATTTTTTAAAATTATATTTGGATTAAATTTAAATGCATTAAGATTTTAAAAGAAAAGATGGAATTATAGCATCTTTTGAGACTCACTGTCAAGAATTTTGATGATTACTTTTCACAAATTATCTTTTAAAATCCAATTTTATGTCAAATAAAATATTCTAATATTTTAGGAGCTCAGAGCATTTGTGGTAAACTTTTAGCCTTTTTATTTTTGAGAATAAGAGTATTTGCAGTTAAGTTGTGAAAGTTGTACTATGTTCAAGATCGTTTGTAAAGATGAGTAAAATTTAATTGACAATTAATTACTTTCAAATATCATGCCACAAAGTTAACAGTAACAAATATTGTCTTTTATTGTTTCTACTCAGTAAATTGAAGTACTTGCAAATCCTCAAATATATCTTTAATCTTTTGAATGTATGAGATGTATTTCAAGGTTATGGGCAAGTTTCTTAACTCTTTCCCTCCAATCTCAGCTGAAGGTCACATTTTTTGTGCATTTATTGAGTACCCAGGACATATCTCAAAAATAGCACATAATTTACAGAATTATAATAATCTGGTGGCTTATTTGTTTTCCCCCATTTGATTTTAAATCCCATGAGGCCTGGAATGGTATATTTTTCATCCTAGTGTCAATTATAGCCTGCAATACAGAGTAGATATTTTCTACTTGTTTGTTAAGTAAACAAATGAGCAAATTGTTTCTGTATTGCAGTTTGCATAAAAAGGATTATTCCAGTAGGAATATGAACATTAGTGAAATGATTGGATGCTAACACTGCATTTTGTATCTTTTCTTACAGGCTCTTAAATCAGATCTACAATGGAAAAATTTCTTTTTTATCTGTTTTTCATTGGCATAGCAGTGAGAGCTCAGATCTGTCCAAAGCGTTGTGTCTGTCAGATTTTGTCTCCTAATCTCGCAACCCTTTGTGCCAAGAAAGGGCTTTTATTTGTTCCACCAAACATTGACAGAAGAACTGTGGAACTGCGGTTGGCAGACAATTTTGTTACAAATATTAAAAGGAAAGATTTTGCCAATATGACCAGCTTGGTGGACCTGACTCTATCCAGGAATACAATAAGTTTTATTACACCTCATGCTTTTGCCGACTTACGAAATTTGAGGGCATTGCATTTGAATAGCAACAGATTGACTAAAATTACAAATGATATGTTCAGTGGGCTTTCCAATCTCCATCATTTGATACTGAACAACAATCAACTGACTTTAATTTCTTCTACAGCATTTGACGATGTCTTTGCCCTTGAGGAGCTGGATCTGTCCTACAATAATTTAGAAACAATTCCTTGGGATGCTGTTGAGAAGATGGTTAGCTTGCACACCCTTAGTTTGGATCACAATATGATTGATAACATTCCTAAGGGGACTTTCTCCCACTTGCACAAGATGACTCGGCTAGATGTAACATCAAATAAATTGCAGAAGCTACCACCTGACCCTCTCTTTCAGCGAGCTCAGGTACTAGCAACCTCAGGAATAATCAGCCCATCAACTTTTGCATTAAGTTTTGGTGGAAACCCTTTGCATTGCAATTGTGAATTGTTGTGGTTGCGGCGTCTGTCCAGAGAAGATGACCTAGAGACTTGTGCTTCTCCAGCACTTTTAACTGGTCGCTATTTTTGGTCAATTCCTGAGGAAGAGTTTTTATGTGAGCCTCCTCTCATTACTCGTCATACACATGAGATGAGAGTCCTGGAAGGTCAAAGGGCAACCTTGAGGTGCAAAGCCAGGGGGGACCCTGAACCTGCAATTCACTGGATTTCTCCTGAAGGGAAGCTGATTTCAAATGCAACAAGATCTCTGGTGTATGATAATGGAACACTTGATATTCTTATAACAACTGTAAAGGATACAGGTGCTTTTACCTGCATTGCTTCCAATCCTGCTGGGGAAGCAACACAAACAGTGGACCTTCATATAATTAAGCTCCCTCACTTACTAAACAGTACAAATCATATCCATGAGCCTGACCCGGGTTCTTCAGATATCTCAACATCTACTAAGTCAGGTTCTAATGCAAGCAGTAGTAATGGTGATACTAAAATGAGTCAAGATAAAATTGTAGTAGCAGAAGCGACATCATCTACCGCACTACTTAAATTTAATTTTCAAAGGAATATTCCCGGAATACGTATGTTCCAAATCCAGTACAATGGTACTTATGATGACACCCTTGTTTACAGGTAAGAAAAATTAACCAAATTTTTATACTTACCATGCATCTTACTGTAGGGCTTGTTAACGTACTACTGACTTGTTTTGTTTTGTTTTAATTGACAGTGCTACTCTGTGTTGTAATTATAGCACTCCATTTTTTTAAAGTGTGTAATGTAAGGTTTGTGAAAGGAGATTACCTGTGGGGAAATACTTTGAATGGTGTTATTCTTAGAGAGTTCAAATTTATATTTAATATTATGCTTACTTACTTTTTTCCCCTCATCTAAGAGATGTGACTATCAGAGAACAAGATTGATTTATTTTAAAAATTCAAAAACATACCAGAACTTACACATCCACATGAGTGTTCTTTCCTTCAAGGAAGTCACGTTGGGAGGCTATTCCATTATCCCAATGATGCTGGCATTGCTCAAAGCACTTTTGGAATTATCTTTAGAACCTTCGTCATACTATTTTGAATATCCTCAGTGGTGGCAAATCTTCGTCTTTTGAGGGTGAATTTGAATTTTGGAAACAAGCAAAAGCCATTTGGAGCCAAGTCTTGTGAATAAGGTGGGTGATCAAGATGGGTATTGCCATTTTTGGTCAAAAAATAGGATGTAACTATAAAATAATGAGACTGATTTTTTTTTGAGTAATTGAGTTATGTGCATGTGTATTGTTTCATATACACTGGTTCTTAAGACAGTTCCAAAGAGAAAGTTACAAATATTTTGAGCAGTGAAAGTATCACTGGAGTTAAGTACGTAATCTCCTCATAAGGAATCTGATGGAGAATTTGTGTCTGACTATAGGTTTTCTGGTATGTTTTTCTAAAGTTCAGCCTCATTGATTTATAGTCACATCTTGTCCAATTTTCAGTTGGAAATATACATTTTTACCTCTCCATATAATTTCACTCATGATAGACTATTATTAGTCCTAGGAAATGATTAAAATTGTGGTTTTGAAATATACATACATATATATATATATATATATTTTTTTTTTTTGTCTTGAAGCTTTTCTGAAATAAGATCAACTCAATTCTTATATACCCAGATGAATTCTTGAAGATAATTTGATCTTCATTCATATATGGAGATGAGAGAACTTTTTTAAAATGAGCATGGGCTGGTAGAAAAAAACAAAACTGGCCCAGCTAGCCATATGATCGATCCTGGGCAAAGTTCTACATGGCTGAGTTTTAATTTCCTCATCTTTAAAAGCAAGAGATTAAAGTAAATGGTTTCTAATATCCCTCTCATCACTAAATGTATGATCATATAGACTCTGAAGCATGCATATTAACATAAAGTAGTTTGTCCTTCTCATACTCAGCTCTTTACCTGGGTTACCCAGTATTTAACCCATTGTCAAAGAAGAGTGGAACCCCTACCCCTCACCTTCCTGTAGCTTCTAACATTGTGTGTGTGTATATATATGTGTATATATATAGCCATAGGCCAGTTTCTACATTCCAAATTCGAAACTCCTAATCCTTCCATGACAAGAAAATTCTATGTGACCTTCAGAAAATTGCTTAAATTTCCTGACTTCAGTGTTTGTTATGAATAAAATAGTAATGCCACCCTCATATAGTCATTGTAAGGATAAAAATTATAGTGTTCCAGAAAAAAAAATTACAGTGTATATAAAGTGCTTAGTAATGCCTGGTACTTATCATACACTCACTAAATGATAGTGATTTTAATCACAAATCACAAATACATACTCCGACCTAAAAGTTTCCTGGTTCATTTAGAACACATTGTTTAGGTTGTAGAATAGATTAGCATTGCCAAGTTTTAAAATGTCCTAAAAAATTCCTTTCAAGGAAAATACAGTTTCAAGCCTTTTTTTCTACATGAAATCTTAGTTTAGGTCATATTTGGTTGCTATGTAAAAAAAGGTAGTGGAAGAAAGCACCCACAGAAGAGTTTTGTGATACAATGGATTCAGAGATATCTGTAAACTTTTATCAAACTTTAGCAACTGTTCTAAAGATAATTTCATCAGCCCATAATGGGTGGGATGAGGGATTTAGGCTCTGGTCAACAGCCTTGCCCTGTTCATGCTTTTAGGATAATATCTCTCATACATTCCCATCAATCTCATTTTTAGATAAAAACATGCTAGGAACCAAGTGTTGACGGCATTAAGAGTAGACTAAGATCTGTAAATAAAGTACTTTAATCTTAGTAATTATCATAGTTACAAAAGATAGGTTTACTGGGTACCATTCCAGAGCATCTTATAATGATTTGGAAAATAAATACTCTGATGCGTTTCCATTCTGGTTTCTAATGTGATTGTCAGTGTTTTCCTTTCCTTCAAATTGGGTTTTAGTCACAGAGGTGTTGTAAGTGCTAAATGGATTTGTTTAGTAGTCAGATAATGTCACAGTCACACCTTTCAAAAGCAATTTGTCATAAATGATTTTTTAGCAGGGGCTTTTATTAGGAGTTCTGCTTTGCCAAGCAATGTAATTAGTAAGCTTGTCAAGGCATGTGCAGGCACCATTAATACAACACAGAATACAACAATGACTTTGAACTGTTTTACCTAGGTAAATATAAGATTAGATCATTTTTCCCATATTTCATGTCTGTTATAAATGTGCTTATCTTAATGAGTACTAAAATGAAACAGGACTGAAGTCATAATGGCTCTGTGTGTCTATATGTTTTGTTTTTAATATTAACACAAATTCCATTGTCCCTCAGAATGATACCTCCTACGAGCAAAACTTTTCTTGTCAATAACCTGGCTGCTGGAACTATGTATGACTTGTGTGTCTTGGCAATATATGATGATGGCATCACTTCCCTCACTGCCACAAGAGTCGTGGGTTGCATCCAGTTTACGACGGAACAGGATTACGTGCGATGCCATTTCATGCAGTCCCAGTTTTTGGGAGGCACCATGATTATTATTATTGGTGGAATAATTGTAGCATCCGTGCTGGTTTTCATCATCATCCTCATGATCCGGTATAAGGTTTGTAACAATAATGGGCAACACAAGGTCACCAAGGTCAGCAATGTCTACTCTCAAACTAATGGGGCTCAGATACAAGGCTGCAGTGTCACGCTGCCCCAGTCCATGTCCAAACAAGCTGTGGGACATGAAGAGAATGCCCAGTGTTGTAAAGTTGCCAGTGACAATGTGATACAGTCTTCAGAAACTCGTTCAAGTCAGGACTCCTCTACCACTACCTCTGCTTTGCCTCCTACCTGGACTTCAAGCGCTTCTGTGTCCCAAAAGCAGAAAAGAAAGACTGGCACAAAGCCAAGTGCCGAACCACAGAATGAAGCTGTCACAAATGTTGAGTCCCAAAACACTAACAGGAACAACTCAACTGCATTGCAGTTAGCTAGTCGACCTCCTGATTCTGTCACAGAGGGGCCCTCATCTAAAAGAGCACATTCAAAGCCAAGTAAGTTTCTCACTTTGCCTGCTGAGAGATCCAGAGCGAGGCACAGGTACTCCCTGAATGGAGAATTAAGGAATACTATTGTTTTAGTAACTCACTGAACACGTGTGGACTGTTTTCTAAAAGAAGCATGTCTATGAATGCGATGTTAATTCAGTCCAATGGTTCTGACGGGCATAGTGGAAAATCAACTCTCTCAGATGCTGAGTGGATATTGGAAAGCACTGTGTAACCTATTTTTTCTTTTTAATGAAGAAATTATTTTGAAAACTCATATAGAAAGTTGGAATTTGAAATTCCAGTTTTGTTTCTCTGATACAAGCCTCATAGAGCCAAGGTGTATAAACCTCCTAGATACAGTTTGATATATGAAGGTAACATAGACAGGATGGTTTAGGGATAAAAGCATGACAGAGCAGTGCCTTCCCCTGCCCTAGGACTGGCTTCCGGGTTCTACAATAGCAGAACACAAAATAAAGGTTGTCACCAGACAAGGAAGTCTTCCTAAATAGTGATATTTCCTCCAGTCTTACAAAGGACCACCCAGGCTGATTAGTATTTTTCAGTGAGTAGATTGTATATATTCTTTCAAGGATGGTGGCATTTGTTTTTAGGCAGATATTAAAAAGAATGACTCCGTGTTGTTATGGTGTTTAAAATAAAATATTCAGTAAGTATACCCAGGCAGTGTTAAAATAGGTACCCTTCTAAACAACATTCTTGGTTCAGGTGCCTTAATGGATTTATGGTATTTCTCATCCATGACAAAGCTTTTTTGGTGGGGAGCAAAAGGAAATTCAAGGGATTTTGCTTTTATCAAGAAAATCCAGTTCAGTTTTAAGTCACAGGCCAGATTCTATACACTGCTACCCTGGGCACGGGAATGTGTTTTCATTCATTCGGTACACATTTGCAGAATGAATGAGTTTTATATTTTTCTTTAAGCAAGTTAAAAAGGGAGACAAAAATACAAGGCTCCCGTTATCAAAGGAATGTTTATTTTTATCACTAAGTGAGATTAAAAAAATACTTCTAATGGAATTCTTGATACATTTATAAGCAATATAAAGTCATTGCTCATTAACCAGATATTGGTTTCGTTTTTCCCTTCTGCTTGTAATTCTCAGTTGGAATGTTTCTTTCTTAGAGTAAATGCATTTATTTTTAACCAATCCCTATGATGAAATTTAATTAGAAATCATTCAGCTTAGGGGGAATCTATCATTAAAAAAATTCTTAATTTAATCAGACAATGATATTTCTCCTTGATATATGGCATTCCTGGATATTCATTAAAATCAAGGTCTATAGATAAATGTTCCTATCTACTCATTGAAAATCTTACATTATATTGCAACTTGATGGTGTTTTACTTAAGATTGGTAAATGAGGTTAACCTTCAGGCATTCTTTGATGTTTGGAGTGAGAGGTTGAAAATAAGGCTCACATGAGAATCTTGCACAAAAAAATTTAGCCATAATATAAGAAGATTTGTATTTTATTTATATAACATTCTCCATGGGAGTAAGTGAAACACAGAGTAAGTTTATTATCTTTTACAGATCTCTTGGAAATATTAAATCACAGATAAGGAATAGTAGTCATTAGTGTAATTTTCTTCTACTAGAGGCATATGTAAAAATTTCAGTCAATTTTAGCTTGACACAGGCACATCTTATACATGATTTATCATGATGACATTCAGAAACAGGTAAAATTAAAGCAGTCAGAGATTATTTTCCATGCCAATCTTGAAAAAAAATTATCTAATGGGCTAGTATTATTGTAGGTGTTTCATAAACACCTCCTCTGTCCCCGTTCCCTGTCTAAAGATTTCCTTTCACATTTTGAAAATCTAATCTGCTTTTGTGGGTCAAGTGTATAGTTCTTTTGAGGAATAAATGAGATTACGTGTGTGGTCGTGTTTTGTAAAATCGAAAGCATTATACAGAGTGAAGTGTATCTTCAACACTATTTCTGTAATAATGTTCAAATCCCAATTTAACATTTCTAATTAACATCATTACTTAATTCTTCAAAAGGTGCTGCTTGACAAAAGCATATTGGTTCTCCCTTTCCTAGTTTTTACATATACGGTATTAAAAAGTCCCAAATACACACACACACACACACACACACACACACACATACATATACATATATATATATACACATATATATGTATGTGTGTGTGTGTATATATATACACACACACACACACGCTTTTGAGACTTAAGCAAGTGAATCTCCAAGGAAGAAATCTCTGGCATTATGAAGATTGTGGACAAGGAGGCTCTGAAATCATGCATTAAGGCCACAGATTAGCATATCTGTTCCATGCTACTGATTAGCTTATTTTATATTTTCCAGTTGCCTGTATTTTTAAAAATAAATTTTCTGCTTATGTTTCAAATGAAACTTTAATTCAATATCTTTTATTTCTTATAAACATTTAGAACTCTATAATATCTTACCATGTGAAATTTATTGTTTGACTAAAGTCATTGAAACCATTTAAATTTTTGTTAGTTTTACAATACTATTTTCAGGGTATATTAACCAAATGCATGAACACTTGTTTTTAGAAATGATAAGAAGGCTCATGTTTCTGTCTTTCTAAAAAGTTTATATTTTGAGAGATCAACAAAAGTTGGCCTATCAAGAGGGTCAAATGTTTTTGTTTTTGTTTACAAGTATATGAAAAACTTTTTGCTCAGGGCAGTTTCAGTGTGAAGTGACTGAAAAATAAATGTATGGGAGAGTTGGGGGTTATTAAGCATACCTGGTATACTTTCCGAAACACAGTAGTTATTCGAATGAATGAGTGAATGGATAGATAAATAAATAAATGCATGGGGCCAGTGAGGAAGGTGCAGTAATAAGAACTTTGATTATATGCACAATGTTGATTTGTGATCTAGCTATTTTATTACTATAAGCAAGAAATTCTGTGTCTCATTGTTTTTCTTTCTGTTATTTCTTACACCTCTCATTTAACCAACTGTGTGTATGTGATCCAAAGCATGTGGTTTGCTGTTGCTGATTATGTAAAAGGTATATATATTGCTTTTTATTTCCATGTCCTAAATTATTTTTCTTTTATTTTTAGCCATTCTACACGATGGTTTCAGGTTGTTCAATATGACAACTAACAAGCAATATACTTACAGATATTTGCTCCAAACAGTTTTTTTAATTATATGTCTTCCTGTGTTGTTTTTGTTTCTTTTGGATAAATTCCCCCAATTTGAAAATGTCCAACTATTATTAAAGTAGGTCTTTTTTTTTAATATATGTAATATTTGAGCATCGTAAAGTGTTGATGAAGCATCCAATGCTGCCTTAGAATCCTAAGAGGAAACAAAGTTTGGTTTGATGGATACTATTTATTTTTATGCTACAAATAGACCAAAACAGCAGTATATTAAGTAAATAAATTAACTATGTAATACCCTCACTGGGACCAATTTATTTCCTAAATTTTTTTTAGGACCATTAAATGTAGTTAGTTAGGTTGAGGCCACAATAAGCTAATTTAGCTTTCAGACAGTTGACTTTAGCTGTAGATATATTTTACTAAAAAGTTTTTAGAATAGAAGTTGTAGAACTATTGTAAACCACTTACAGACATAGCAAGTCTATTTGAATGATGCATACTTTCCCATAAGAAGTTGAGAAATTAAAAGAAATGTGTATTCTATTTATCTACAGAAATCTCTTTTTATCTTTTCTTGAGAAGTACTTTCTCCTTCATTTTAAAGTACTCACAAAGTACTTACTTCCAAACTAAATTCTATTTTATTTGCTGACATTACTGAAAGGAAACTAAATATTTCATTTAGAAAGGTAAAAAACTAGAGCAGTTATCACAAGATCCACAACAATTGCCTCTTAGTTCTGAATTTTCCCTATTTTTTCCCCTGTTATTCACAATGAGAAGCTTAACAACAATCATTTAAATGCCAATAGTTTATTAAAAATAAAAAAGTACAGAAAGCATAAAGCATCTCATTCTACATAGAATTACAAAGGCAAATGGGGGCATTTTTCAAGGACTACAGATCGGAACCCACTTTCTTATTGGTATGACAAAATTCCATTTCTATTTTATGATGCTAAGAAAACAATGTTCTTTGATATTATGCAGAATGAAGACTATCTATTCTTTTTTTCTTGCTCAGTCATCCCTCGTGTTTCACAAAGCGTCCAGACTTTCTTCTTTAATAGTGAATGTGGATGCTTCTGTCTGTAAGTGTTTGTGGTGTTTGGGGAAAGGACTTCAGCACAGAGGTGGGCTGGATAAGAAAAGGATATTTTTTAATAATCATCATCCTTATATAGTCATTATTATTATTTACATTATAATGGTTGTGAGTGAAGCATTTTGGGGGAGCCAAATTTAAGGATAAGAAATATCTTATTTTCAAAATTTCATAGAAAAAAGAGAAAGTAACCAAAAGAAATGACTGGGATTTTGTAATAGTTTCAGAGCTCAGTCTTTTCAGATTGTTGAGTCCTTTTCCTCCCACACTAGATAAATGTATGCTGGGACTACACATACACTTACTTTTTTCAGATTTGGGGGGTTTTGTTTGTTTGTTTTCTTTCTGAAACAAATTAATCATTCTTATAGCAGTACAGAGGATCACTTAATATAGAAAGAACTGTAAAAGTATTACTGTGACTGAGTCTTCCTAAAAATGTGGTATTGTCTGAAGTGTGAGACACAGAAGGTAGCAATTTCTACCTGGGAATCTATTTAAGTATGAAATTTCCTTGTTAAATAAGGGTAATGTATTTGCAATTTTATCAAATATTATAAGCAGTCAGTATAATAAATAGTGTACCATTGTCTTCTGATTTTGTCAGCTATTTCTCAAAGTCAAAATTTAAGATAGAAAGTTACCATTGGTAAAATATATACATGGTATATACTTATGTATCTATATATGCAATATATAGATAAACTAATAAGTAAGCTTATCAGATTAATCAGTTAAAATCAGAATTTTGTGTCCTGCAACATAGATTATAATTGATAGAGCCAAGTTATATTTATATGGGCTAGCAACCAGAGAACTTCTCCCAGAATAACCGTACAAGCTATACCTCTTAGTTGTATAAGATTACAACAGGAAATAAACTCTCTAGAAGAAATTTATTTTTCTGAACTTCCTAATGATAATGATCTCTACACCTTGTCTAATTTCATCCACTCTTTTCAAATAGAGGACTATTATGTCCATGAATTTTAAAAATTAAAATTTTTTACTAGGCTTTAGAAGTATCAATGTTTATGCCATTTTACCTGAGAAAGCAAAATTGACATAAAATTAGGTGACAAATCCATATATATAGACTTTGAGAGTCATTCCTCTCAGGAGACTGAATAGTTTTTCTACTAACTAAACTGCTGGCATTCTGTTTTTTACAATAAAAGTGCCATGGGGTGAAAGCGTTGGGAAAAAAAATAATTTTTTTTCAAATACATTCCGGGAAAGTCATAAAGTCCCTTTCATTTTGTGTTTGGAAGTGTTTGTACATTTGATCTTGCCTGAAACAGGAACTAGATAGATATTGTGATTCTGCTCAGAGTATGTCCAATAAATTATTCAAGTAGCATGAACGGCTTATGAAATATCCTATGTTGGCTCTACCATAATGTAATTTCCTAAATATTTTTTTCTGTATATTGTGAATATGTCTTATTATTGCTTTCATGTAAAACCTAATCTCCAGAGACCATTAGAAGTTTCTATGAATATTTGTCCTGGAAGCTCTATAAAATAGTATTTTGTTCTCTTCTCATCACACTTACCTGTGAACCCTGAGAATAATTTTTTCCCAACATTTTTTCTTATCATTGTGTCACTTCTTAATGACTAGGTGTATTTGCTTGAAAAGAGGACATATTGGAAAGAAATAGAATGTGTGCTATGCAGGGCTAGGTAATGGTATTAAACATTCATAGCCAACTGGAACATATATATGGACATTTAAAAGGCAGAATGGTTGCATATAGAACATTAGTGTTTTATGTGAGGATACTGGGTACTTCATAAAACTTGATATTATTTTGGGGGTTATTGAATAATGATTTTTGTAAATGATTATTTAATACTCTGTGTGTTGAACATAGTGAAGCCATGTTTCCTGTTTTGGTTTCTCTTTTCCTTGGTGTATCTTTCCGTATTAATCATATACAGCTCTGTTGTTGAAATGTTAACTTTGAGTAGGGAAAGATGAGTAGAAGCCTGATTCACTTCTTGAACTCTTTGAAGAAGAGTACATTCTGTAGTAAATACTCACTTCAGCAACTAGAACAATATTTTTAAAATTCTACTTTTATAGTATTATGTATCAGGAAGTAGCCATAGACAACTACAGAGTATTTACAAAAGGCAGTTGCAATTTGCCCAAGAACAGGTAAGTTAAAAAAAAAAAAAAGTCTAGACAAATCTCTGTTAAGAGAAATCTTATCAAGATTTCAGTGAGAAGTGTTTTAGGGTCTATTTCTTAAAAACGGAATTTGTGTATTTGTTTATGACACTGAAAATTTTATTCCCAGATGCTTTGATGACTAATGTTGACCAGATTGTCCAGGAAACACAGGTGAGATTTTTGTTACCTGTCTCATAATACGCATTAAGTGGGTATGTTCTTTTAAAAATAATTTTTTAAATTTTCTTGCAAGCTTATGTAACTTGTTGAAACTTCCCATTAAAACTTACTCAGTGCTCAATGGTACAAACTAAAGTTCAGTTTGGTTAAATGAATTTCCAGTTGCTAAATTTAGACATATTTCTGGTTAAGTGAACATTTCTGATCCATACTGTAAGAATACAGGGAATACTAATGTGACTTTGGAGTCAGTCTTACATTCATGCATGACATAATGTGCGTTTTTTACAAATATTTCCCAGTGTGAAGACAGTAGCTTGATAAGAATGTATTCATTCCTATCCTTGACCTCTACATCCTAATAGGAGCTGAAATGATACATTATGCCTCCCTGAAAGTGGATGAACAGAAGTGTTTCAGTATTATCCAAAATGAATGAAGCCACTATAAAATGGAGCAAAAGACTACATATGAAATATTCATGGTATTCCTTTTGTCAGCAACTGATTACTCTTCTCCTTTTTTTTTTTTTTTTCCTTTTTGGAAGTTTCAAATGAGTATTTGATTCCTGCATTTTAATTGGATCAGAAAGTGTGTTTCCAGAGCAGAATAGCACTTTAGCAATCTGTTCAAACAGCTGGAAGCATCAGCCATTTGCTCAAGGTTTGGCACAGAAAAAATATTCTGCTTTTAAAAGTTCTAAAAAAGGCTACTGATTTAATTTTTTAGGGGTAAAAGTAGGGTCTTTTTTAAAAAAACATTTTGTATTTAAAAGATAATAACTTGGACAATCATTCAGGGTTTCCCCTAATGAATTCTACTCCCAAATTAAACGCCATAGTTTTCATGCATCATGTCTCTGAGTTCAGGATCCCAATCCCATGTTGCAAAAAATGAACAGATGGCTCACTAGAAACAATCAGTAGCCCAGTGTCTGGCACACACTTTGTGTTCTGTTTTTGTGTACCGAACTGACCTGCGTGAAGGTGCGTTGTTTCATCATCACCCAGTGTGTCCCTTTCTCGCTCTGAACCTCTCTTTCTCTCCTGGCCTCTCTCTTTGCCTTTGATTTCTGAAAATTCATTTATCCTGTAACTTTGGACATCTAGCTGTTCTGAAAGAGAGTATCTTTAGAAGGGGTTTAGAAAGTAAATGATTGATCTATCAGAGGCACTGTCCAGAATGGTGCTAAATGTTTTATCAAGATTTGGAAGCAGGAAAGTCAATCTAAGTCATTTTTCAACTATCAATTCAAGTATCATGAAACCTCAGTGTGACTCTTCTTGGTATTTGGCAAATGATTTCTGCCTTAGCAGACCTATTATTTCTACCCCTCTCAATACAACCAGGGAAGCCCCTTGGAAGAGACTGACCAGCATGCTTGTCTACATGCGCCCTTCCCATGGTCAGCCGTGCTTCACCAGGTGTGAGGGGAGTGAGGTGGAGCTTGTGCTCACAGCTACCCAGCTCCTTCTTAGGGGGGACGAAGGGATATAAATTTTTATTTGAAGTTTTTATTTCCGCAGGTTGGTAACAAATGTGGTTTCCTACTCAAAGGCAAATGTGTTTTCCAAAATTTTGGATGCTGCCCATTGCATTAAATTTAAATTAAAATGCTACCTGTGTATATATACAATAAAAGTAAGCAAAAAGCCTGGGGTGCCGAGATAACTCGGTCAGCTAAGCATCCAGCTCTTGGTTTTGGCTCAGGTCATGATCTCTGGGTCCTTAGATTGAGCCCTGTCTTGGGATCTGCACTCAGTGGGGAATCTGTTTGTCTCTCTCCCTCCCCCTCTGGCTTTCCCCCTGCTCACTCCTTCTCTCCCTCTTTCTCTCTCAAATAAATAAATAAAATATTCTTTCAAAAGTAAGCAAAAAGCAAACAAAAAACACCTTACAACACATTTTTGTTTTTAATATAACAAAATATTTCCATGGCAACCTTACTAAATTAATTATACCACAGTCCCTCACATAGCATCAAATTCTAGTAAGAAGGTACCCAGAAGACAGAAAGGTTTCATCCAGTTACTGGTGTAGGTATTCCTCATACTGAGATAATCTGCTAAGATCATTTTTTTCCCTAAGGGTGAAGAATTAATACATTTATTTCATTTCCGTTAGCCAGAATATGTCCTATGCCAATTTTTTTCCTTAGGACCTTTCCTGCATGTGTATAGAAATAGAATGAACTTAATATATTTAATATATCACACATGATCCTTTTATAATAAAATCATAAAATCTAATCACACTCAGATGAATTGAGAACCAAGAAGAAACTGATAATAATAACGTGGTAATTATGTGTAAACTGGCACTAACATATGTTAACCTTATGTTTGAAAAGTTTGTTAAATCTGCAAAACAATTCATATGCCATGTTTAGATGTTAAAAATAGGAACAACTGACTAGCTGCATTTTTTTATTTACTTAGAAAAATGGGGGTGGCAGAGGAAGAGGGGGAGAGAATCTCAAGCAGACTCCCCGCTGAGTGCAGGGTCCACTGGGGGACTCAATCATGATCTGATCTGAAATCAAGAGTCCCACACTTAACTGACTTAACACAGTTAACCCAGCTTCCCCTACCTAGTTGCATTTACACTGAAAATTTCTTAAGTAAACTTTCCTGAAAAGTATTTGTTACATTCAGACAACAAAATATGTGTACTGTGTGTGTGTGTGTGTGTGTGTGTGTGTGTATAAATATGCACAAGAAATACCCCTTAATCTACAATTGCTTGCACTAGCCTTTAAGAAAATAGCTTCCTGATTCTAATGGATTTGACTTTCGATTATTCTGCATAGTATCAATTAAGGTATTTAACAAATTTAAAATTTGTCATAAAACCCCTGCTACAGGTGCAATAACTATGAAAAGAGACACTTTTTTTAGAGAAACTATTAAAGTATAAATGAATAAAAAGTAATGCTGATTATAAAGAAAGAGCAACATTTAACATAGGGTTAGAAAAAATATGAAATAAGAGCTAAACAGCAAAGCAAATGTGTATGTATGATCCAGATATATTTCCAATGTTATTTCCCAGTAAAAATTAATACTATAAAGTATTTGGTTCTATAGCTTTGTTTTTTGCTATGATATTCCCTTTAAGTGAAATTTTAAAAAATAAGAGTAATAGAATAGGCACATATACACATATGTAGATAACTTTTAACTATTTTTATAATAAACCCATTTTTGACATTTGCTTGAACATTACAGTAAATCAGTAAAACCTAGAACCCTGGTATCAGGAATGACTTTTAGAAATCATTTCCTTCTTTTTTTAGATATCTTAAATAATATTAGAATCGTTTAGAGTTCTTAACTGCATTCAGAGTAAAGACAGTAACAGCATTTTCTCACAGTTCATTCAACATCAGGACATTTTTCCTTTTTATTTTTTTTTTAAAGATTTTATTTATTTATTTGACAGAGAGAGAGAGATCACAAGCAGGCAGAGAGACAGACAGAGAGAGAGGGGGAGAAGCAGGCTCCCCACTGAGCAGAGAGCCCGATGATGCGGGACTCGATCCCAGGAGCCCAGGATCATGACCTGAGCCAAGGCAGAGGCTTAAACCACTGAGCCACCCAGGCACCCAGGACATTTTTCCTTTTAATATTGGATAGTTTAATTTCCTTTTTTCTTTGTAGTACTGTTAATAAAACTATTTGTCCCCAATATTTGCATACCTTTCACTGTTAAATAAGGACCGTTATCAAAACATCCTGAGCCTATCTCAAATTCATTATCTTTAGTTCTTGTAACATTTTAGATAATTGTTATAGTCTGTTTTTTTTCTTTGTGATTCTCTTGTAATTTGTATTCATATTTAGATCTTTATGAAATCATTGTGAGAGTTGTCTATTGATAAGTGAAGTAAAAAGTGTTATTTTGAATATCATATACAGCTTCTTATTCAGCTTCACATTATGTCATCATTTCAATCATGGTTATAGGTTCAGGGCAGGCGAATTCATACCGCAGTTTCCAAAACTGATTGCTAATTGTCTAGTCTTTGAAATTAATAGCTTTTATAAAAGCCATAATTCCATAGTTTGTTAATAGTGGGTTTTTGTTTTTTTTTTTTTTTTTTTTTTTTTTTTTTTTATGTAGGGGTGCCTGGGTGGCTCAGTGGGTTAAAGCCTCTGCCTTCGGCTCAGCTCATGATCCCAGGATCCTGGGATCTGGCTGCATTGGGCTCTCTGCTCAGCGGGGAGCTTGCCCCCCCCTCTCTCTCTGCCTGCCTCTCTGCCTACTTGTGATCTCTGTCAAATAAATAAAATCTTTTAAAAAATAGGTTTTTTTCATGTAACGTGGAAATGAATATCCTTAAAATATGTAAACTTAAATAATCAGTAACTTGACTTTTTTTTTTTTTTTTTGAGAGAGTGAGAGAGAGCTAGAGAGAGCTCGAAGGTGGGAGGGACTGAGGAAGAGACAGACTCCCTGCTTATCAGGGAGTACCAGCTGGGGCTGATCCCAGGATCTTGGGATCATAACCTGAGCCAAAGGCACATGCTTAATGACAGAGCAACCCAAGTGCCCCTCATTAACTTGATATTAAAATAATTTTTTATTCTGGAAGAATTTATTATTTCTAAGGTCAAACTAGTTATATTGTCCACTGTATTTTTCTTCTATTTGCATTTAGTCTTTTCTATATTACAGCTTCCTGAAACTTGAACTTTGGTATAGTACAACTACATCTTTTTTCTATCAAAAGAAGCATATATTTGGAAATACAAACAGAAATAAACTCATTGTAAGGCAATTTCACCGAAATAAGCTATGCTATGAACCCAATAGATAGGAATTTAGATAGAATCCCATTTTAATTTAAAGTGATCTTGCGATGTTTTTCTTAGAACATTTCAGGTAAAGAATGATGGTGAGATCTATATTTCAGTCATTTCCAAGGTAATTATTTTTTATAAATACTTTACACATCTATTGTCTATTAAGTTTCCAAACATTGTGTAAATCCTTTGTTCAATAATTTTCAAGGACTATTGTTTGTGCCAAAAGTAACTTCAGCTATTCAGCTATTCAGATGAAATTTTTTCTCCACCCCTCCTTTTTTAAAAGACTTTATTTTTAAGTAATCTCTACACTCAACGTAGGGCTCAAGCCTACAACCTGAGATCAAATGTCACACACTCTACCAACTGTGCCAGCCAGGTGCCCCCAGATGAAATGTTTTCTTGAATGAAACATCTCTACAATATTTTTCCTACCTTTATCACATGAAGTTTTTTCTACACCAAATATGTTCTACATCAGTATTTTGATATAGAATATTCTTCCATATTTCATGATTCATCTGGGCCATGCATTTTATAACCCCCAACTTGTAAACATAATTCTTTTTGAAATGGGAAGGGACAAAAATTACTTCTACTTCATATTTATGAAATTCTGTATTTATCAAAAATCATTTTTCATCTCTATTCAAGATGAAATTTATAGACATATCTTAAATCTATGATGCTGAGAACCCACATTGAGGAAGAATATTTATACAGCTTGATATTTAAATATTTTAAATGGTTTTATATTATTTTATTCAAAATCACATTAACTATGGAATGCCTTTCTTGTAAGTCATTGTCAGTTTACAAGTTTGTTTCTTCTGTGAGTGAGGAACTAATTTATGAAGAGAAGTAATGGTCTTCACTAATATTTAATGTATAATTAAATTTTATAAAATTTCAATATGATACAAAACCCCCAACAAACTATTTAAAAAGTAGAAATCACTTAGATTTTATATGTGATGAGCAAATTGGTCTAATATGTTCATAGTTTTAAAACCAGCATGATTATTTGTTAAATTTTAAATGGCATGCATTAATGAACAAAATCATTATTTTTTTTTACCTTGAGAATATAAATGTGAAAAACAAAGGGAAAATGCTGTTCCACAATTTGGCTTTGAATTACTTAACTATTTAGGCTAAATGCATTTAGATTCCTTTTTAAAATGAGATTCTTCTACATATTCAGAATTTGAAGTTACCAAGCAACATTTTAAGAGCTGTTGTGCATGTCTAGATAGTTTTTAAGGGTGTATCTTGTATTGTATAGCAATAAACTCCTGCCAGGGTGCTTATAGTTTAGTAACTTCTGAATTACTAGCACAATGGCCTTATTACCTATGTATTTTCTCTTTGTTTCTTTGTTTCTTTTTCTTCCTTTCCTTTTTTTTCTTTTCTTTTCAGAGGCTGGAGTTAATCTGAAGAGCACTACTTCTTTCTCTCCTGAAAAAAGTTGCCACTGATATTTTTACTGGATAAAATTAAAGCGTTTCAATTCACAAAGGCTAATTGTTGAACTGGTGCCCTAGAAGACATTGTCCACAGGAGCCGAAGCAGAAGTCTCTGATGCTGGCGCAACGGGCTCGATCAGACCATGGTTCATCCCCTTTAAAAGCCAAAATTTTTGTTTTCTTCTGGCCTACAAGTATTTTTTTTTTTTAAAGAAGGAAACAGAAAAGCCTACATTGGCATCGAGTTCTGTATCAGTCCATGTTACATTGCCATCCATGATTTAAGACTGTAGAATCTTGAATAATCTATATCACTTTAACAAATAAATGTTTTACTATGACAGAATTTGTACAGTGCCTGATTTGTGGAAGTATCAATTGCTTCAAGTATGAATGGTGCAATGATGACTGTAAGAACTAATAATACTATTTTACATTTATGTAATGCAAAACCTTAAGGAATCAAATTTGCTTTATAATATTGGACCTATTTCTGTCATGAGTAGAGTACACCCACGTCTGTGGGAGAGCAGTGCAGCTATTTTAAAAGTTTTACAGCAATCTGATGCTTTAGTGTAAGACAGAAAGTGATGAGGGATCTCTTCTCCTAGTAGAACTTCAGAAAGCTTCAAAGTAGGCACATGCGGTAATTAATCCAAACTGATTCATTGAGCTTCTGGAGAGCTGGGACAAAGAGGTTTAAAACTTAATAGTTTTAAGCCTTATATTTCATTGTAAGTGCCCATTTAACCCATTTTGCACAATTCCTGGGTAAATAAAGAAGAACAAACATCTGATTTAACACCAGCAAAAATAGGAGTAAGACATCTTCAGTGTCTAGCAAATGTTAATACAGTCAAATGTAGGCAGTATCCAAGCCTAGCATTTAAGGGCTGGTCTAGCTATCAAGCAGACCTGAGTTTGAATTCTAGATCTGAGCAAATTTGGTCAGTTACCCACTCTTCCATATTCTTACAGGAGAAATATTGTAGAATTTGAAAATGTATGTAGACTTATCACTGTACTGGGTGTAAACAATAAGTTTAGTTTAAAAATAGCATTAGCATTGCCACTAGCAACTGAATTCAGATTCTCTCAAACATTAGAGATTTTATTTCTGTTCCTTTACAGTTCTGTTAGTTATTGATCATGAAAAGCAATATGTTGTTTAAAGCTTTTAAGGAGCCAGGAAACGGTCTTTCAAGAAATTTAGCTTATCTGTTCCTTGTCTCTTAGACTTATAAATATCCAACCATCCAAAGAGAAGTCATAGAATGTTAGCCTTCAGATGGCACTTGGAATCTGTGTTCCGAGCCTAACTAAAACCATTTAAAGTGGTTCACCCACTTGCTTGCAGACACACACAATGCCATGCTTGAAATAGAAGCAACAAGTTTGAGTTGAAATGTAGTTAATTTGTGACTGAGCAAATGGCTTCATTCTCTCTGTTTCCTGGCAACTCTCATGCCCCGGAGCAATCCTGTTTATGTGTGTGTACATGTATGTATGCATGGATAAATGTTTTTGGTGACAAAGGTGGCAAAAAAGACACAACTTGAGCAATCCATCCGCTGATCTATTCCTGTTGTCTACAACTCTTCTCCTCAAATATGAAGTGTCAGGAACACAAATGGCTTTCCTGGATCTCTGTGCAGAGCTTAACTTTTTAAGGTCTCGGGAAAACCTGCTAACTTTTCCTTAAGGGCATTCTCCTGTTTGTATCTCTCCCTTTCCTTTGGGCCTGATTCTTGTCTATTCTGAAATTTTTCTTGATGATAATGAAGCCTGACCTCCTCACCTCTCTAGGATGCTCACACTGTTGTGTTACAAGGAACATGATTTTTCATGTAATTCAAGTGTGTTAGGACTAAAATGACAATCATTTCAAATCTTCGCCCTGTATCCCCCACACTTAAATTTAAAACTTCCCCTTATGCACACATTCAAACAACAGTAATGAGGCCCTCCTAGTGCACCTAGTTTCTCTTTCTGAAATGCCATTTTTAAGGAAGACTAAGACACAGTCTCTGATTTTGTAAATGTACACTATTCCATTGTTTAAGGACAGATATTTGCTTCTTTTTTTTCTTTTAAGATTTTATTGATTTGTTTGACAGAGAGATAGAGTGAGAGCACAAGTAGGCAGAGCAGCAGGTAGAGAGGGAGAAGCAGTCTCCCCATCAAGCAGGGAGCCCGACGGAGGGCTCAGTCCCAGTGGGATTATGACCTGAGCCGAATGCAGCTGCTTAACCAATTGAGCCACCCAGGTGCCCCAGGTATTTATTTCTTATACTATGAAATTAAGAAAACACTTGTGTACACCCATAACTAAATAGAAATAATGATCATAAAATAAGTTTTGCCCAAAAAGTGATGACATATTTTGAGGATAAGCAGAAATGATTTCTTTAGCTGAGCTTTTAGCATCATAGGGTGATCTAATGGATAGTAAAAAGTCTCAACTGTAAAACTGTTGAATATACATTGGAAACAACTTCCATTTTCCTGTTATTCTATAATCCTGAGTAATATTGGAAGTAACCCAGCTGCTAAAAACATATATTATAATAGTATGAATATTTACAGTTCAACTTGTGACATACCTTACACATAATATAAACTACATCAAACACACAAGAAAATAAAAAATATTTTTAATGCAGGGAAGGTACAGTTTGTGACACATGAAAATGGCCTGAAAACTATAGTTTGTATTTTGAAAATCTACAGTCATGATTTTTGAAACCCATGGTCTATAGAACCAAAGATTAATAATAAAGCACTATTGTTAGTATTGAAAGGAATAACTTACACCTGGAAATGAAAACTCAAATAATTTAAATTTTCCTCTTTGTAACTTAGTAGCTCTAAGATTAGTTTTACAAATTTTTGTTGTTTGCTCAATGATATAACACCCCTTTCATATTTATAGAATATTTTCTAACAAATTCTTGGTTCGTTTTGTCCAAAATATATTCAGATTATTTCTACTTTTACTCTGCTTTCCATATGTTAGGAAATTATTCCTTTTTTAATTCCAAAATGTACTTATATTGATATATCATAAATCTACTTATCAAATGGTGTGTTTGTGTGTGTGTGTATGTGTGTGTGTGTACATGTGCCTAAAAATTCAAGTGATGAAGAATATATTATGTATAACCAAAGTAAAAGGCCCTAGCACAGGATTGTTTTATTTGATAAATAATTATAATATATAAGGAAACTAGCCACATCAGATTTTTTATAAAACTATCTTTTTATTGTGGAAAATATATATGACATAAAATTTGACATTTTAACCACTTTTATTGTAAATTGCAATCACCGCCACTATTTTAAAAACATTCTTATCACCCCATACATAGAATCTGTAGCCATTAAGCAATAACACCCATTCCCCTTCTCGCAGTCCTTGGTGAACTCTAATCATATTCTCTATGAATTTGACTATTCTGGATATTTCATACCAGGGAGAATCATACAATGTTTGTCCTTTTGTGTTTGGCTTATTCCATTTACTGTAATGTTTCCAAGTTTCATCCATGTTGACGCTTATATCGAACATTTTATGGCTGAATAATATTCCAGGAATATATGCAGCACATTTTGCTTCTCAATTCACCTTTTGATGGACACTTGTGTTGTTTCCACCTTTTGGACACTGCGAATAATTCTACAATGAACATTGTTATTCAAGTATATATTTGAGTTTCAGTTTTCAGTACTTTTAACTATATGCTCTGGAGTGGAATTGCTGGGTCATAGGGTAATTTTATGTTGAATCTTTTGAAGAACTGCCAGACTGTTTTCTACTGTGGCTATACCATTTTATACTCATTCCAGTAATGCACAGGTGTGTAAGTGTTTCAATTTCTCCACATTTATAATTCTCAATTTTTCTTAACAGTCATTCTAGTAGGTATGGATTATCTCATTGTGATAATGATTTGCATTTCCCTAATCACTAAAAATATTGAGCGTTTCATGTGTTTATCAGCCATTTGCATATCTTATTTGGAGAAATGTCAAATCAAGTTCTTTGCCCATTTTTCCTTATCTGAAAGAGAGAGAGAGAGAGAGAGAGAGAGCAGGGGGTGGGGCAGAGGGAGAGAGGGAAAAAGAATCCTTAAGCGGATTCACCGAGAAGCATGGAACCCATTGCAGAACCCACCGAGAAGCATGGAACCCATTGCAGAACCCTGAGATCATGACCTGAGCTGAAGTCAAGAGTCAGATGCTTAACTTACTGAGCCACCCCAGGTGCCCCTTCTTTGCCCATTTTTAAACTGGATTATCTGTTGTTATTGAGTTGAAAGCATTCTTTATATCCTCTGGATATTAACCCTTCTCAGATATATTATTTGCAATTATTGTTTTCCATTCTGCAGGGCTTTTCTCTTTCTTGGTATTATATCCTTTGATGAACAAAAATGTTTAATTTTTATTAAGTCCTATTATGCATTTTTTTTTTTTTTTGCATTTGTGCTTTTGGTGTCATATATAAGAATTCATTGCCCAATCCAAGGTCACCAGAATTTATCTTTATGTATTTCTCTAAGAGTTCATGCTTTCACCTCTTACATTTAGGTGATTGATATATTTTGAGTAAATTTTTGTATACATTTTGAGGTAAAACTCCAACTTTATTTCTACAGATGTGAAAATCCAGTTGTCCCAGCACCATCTGTAGAAAAACTATATTTTCCTTATCAAATGTATTTGACAGGCTTATCAAAAGCTGACCACAGATGTGTTTATTTTTATTTCATTGATCTTATGTATGTCTTTACGTCACTACCTTTATTTGTTTTTTTAAGATTTTATTTACTTATTTGACAGAGCAAGAGATTACAAGTAGACAGGCAGGCAGAGAGACAGGGGAAGCAGGATCCTCTCTGAGCAGAGAGCGTAATGCAGGGCTCAGTCCCAGGATCCTGAGATCATGACCTGAGCCAAAGGCAGAGGCTTACCACTGAGCCACCCAGGCGCCCGCCTACAATATTTTGATCACTGTAGTTTTGTAAGTTTTGAAACCAGAAATATGAGTTCTCCAACTTTGTTTTTTTGTTTTGTTTTGTTTTCCCCAAGATGATTTGGCTTTTCTGGGCTCCTTGAAATTTCAAATGAATTGTGGGATTGGCTTTTCCATTTCTGCAAAATAGCAGTTGGAATTTTGATAAGAATTGAGTGAACCTGTAGATCATTTGGGTAGTATTG